ACCATAACGGCAACTGACCTACGAACACCGTGATTAGTGTTGACTACAATGGAAAAGAGTATCAATAAATTTACTATACAAAATGTGACGAAGAAGATCCGAAAAACCACAGGCAGATCTATTTGTTGCCATCGCGAAATTACTGAACAGGCTTGAGGAAAAACAAGACCTGAGCTCTGCACAAACGACCAGGCATGATTCATCAGCGGAATCAGTACCCAAACAAATATCAAATGCTTCAACGAATATCACCTTCTCCGGACTGGAATTTCTAGATATCGATAAAGCTTACGACTCAGTCTGTACCCGATCTATATGTATTCAGAGGTGCCTGGGAATGGAGAAAACGTACAGAGACCACATCTTCACGATCTATAACAACGTAAAGACTGGAGTAAGACTACAAAAAACACAAACAAATACAAAACAGAAAAAGCGGTCCAAACTGGCGATGTCGGATCACTGAGGTTATGCTAAAAGTAGATCTAAAAGAAGTGTCTATGGCAATCGAGTGGAAAAACCAGGGGTTACATAAAAACGTACTAAACGTAAGCCACCAATGGTTTGCTGACAATTTTCTTAACCTCATAATGTCTTCAGGTGGACCGAACGACGCCGACAACAAGGATCACTTAAAAATGAACTTCAGAACACTCAAGCTATGTTTAACAAGTAGGTGACTTCGCATACTGAATCAGTGGGCATAAGTGTGGAGGCTTAGGTTCGAAGTTCGTACACCACGATCAATGGCAAAACTGTCCTGGCTCCTGTTAGAATTCCTCTTCAGTATGGTACCAGCATGTGAACTTGAAAGGAGCACTAGTAGTACCTCTGGGGATCAACCTATATTACATTCATTCGCAGCAACGGTGGTCAACATATGACTCACAGATGGCATGGTAACGGTAATATCTATGAGATAACGTATAACTTCTTAAAGTGTAACGAAAGATTAAATTATCTTGAATAACCAATCTCCTAGAAACTCCAGCCAGTTAAGCGAGGAACGTAACAAAGCGATTAGGAAACAATTTTTAAACTTGTGACAAACTACATAACAGAAACAATATGCCTATTTGGCCACTGTGCACTGAACATGCTTGACGGATTAGAACGAAGCGGCAGGATAATGGATTATTTTCATACGCTAAACTGCAAGTGATCGAAGAGTACAATTGCTCTTGTGATAAATTTTAATCTGATTTGGATCCAATTTAACAAGACCATTTACATGAGGCATAATTACGGAATCTAGACGTAAAACAAACACGGAAAAGTATTATATAACAGCCTGAATGAAAATCTGACTACTGCCTTCTGTTTTACGACTGGATGCCAATATTATACATCAGGAAAATGGTCTGTTGATAAATATTACACCTAAAAGCGAAAACTTTTTAAAGAAAACAGGGCTTTTAGACTTTGAAGTTTTATATTTAGCAACGATATTCGGTTCTACTTCGATCACGAGGAAATCGAATGAGGTTCCATCTCCGGCTGGCGGCTGAACGGCGCCATGACTAAAACCGGACAGTTTCATTCAGCTCAAACTTGCCTGGCAGGTCCACAAAGCGGTCGACCGATCATCCGGCTTTCATCTTCTGCGCCGTATTAGTGATGACAAGATGTTAACCATGACCATTGTCACAGCAGTAAAAGTTGCCTAATATCAATTTGAGATACCATTTCAAAATGTCAGACATCATAAATCTGGATTACTCTGTTTAAGCTATGCTAACCTTCAATTACAATGACACAACAACATGACAACGTGGTGACAAGCGAAAACGCTACGAACAAAAACAACATGCACCTTTAAGGTTGGTATTCGGTGCGTTAATTGTATTTCCTGGCCGGCACTGTCGATCGCTCTTCCCTCTGAGTTGAGGATCAGCGGCGTTGGTTTCCCCGGTTGTCTACCGAACGACTGGTAGCTGAGCAAGGCGGGCAGCCGGTTCGCTATGCTCGCCTGCAAGTCCGAGGCACGCTTCGCCTTCTCTAGAGACTCGTTCATGAACTCCTTCGCCTGTTCCGGGGCGATCTTCGCCGGATGTAACTGAAAATGCCAGCCTCGAAACAAGACTTGTACGCAAACGTCAGCTTACCCTCAAAACTCGCTTTCGCTCCTCGATCATCCGCTGAGCCTGTAGCATAATTTCGTGGATTTTGTATTCGTTCTGCGGCTTTTCGGTGTTAGGCGCATTTGCTGCCATCGAGTCGATCAGCGTCGACGGGAATACCTCCAACTTAGACATCTTAGCGTCAATACCGTTGGCAGCCGGCGTTTCCTCGAACTACAAGAACACTGCAATAAAACAAATATACAAACAAAATCTAACCTACCCTTGAACGTTTCCTTCTTTCTTTTACAGGCGTTTTGATCTCTTCAAGAAGAAGATCAAGCAACTTTCGGATCTGTGCTTCATCCTTTACATAATGAAATAACCGATCTGTAAACTTCTTTCTGCTGTAGCCCTTATCCAAACCCCTCTGTAACACGGATACAACCGAATGGCTTGACGACCCAAGCACATTCTTTACTGCTTCCTCAATACAGTTTAATTCAGGCATTTTACCAGACTAACCAGCAATTCTTGTTGTTAGTAAATATAAGCATTACTGTTCTTCATTAAAAAGATGCGCAAGTGTTACTAAGCTGTCTATAACTTCTATACTTGTACACTTGGTTTAATAGAATGCCATTACGGAACACTACCAATAAAATACAGCAATTAGAAGGAATATCAAGCATCTCCATAGGAGCACAGAGAGTGTCAATCTCTTCCAGTGATAGTGAAACTAAATCAACATTAAGCAGTTTTTTCACAAATATGATTAAACATAATCAGGGGTAGAGTGTTCTATTCTTTTAGTCCTATCTAATAACTTTCGACTTGCGTTAACGCGTAATTGTGAACCGATGCTCTGTCGCTTTATGGTGTCGAACATTTATAGAGTACTTATTAGACGGTTTCGAAGTCCTTACGTTGAGGTGAGGCACAGAGAAGTGGTACTACTATGATCAATTAATGTCGTAGTAAGTTTTTCCAAGTGAATGAGGATGAGACGACCAAGCGATTGCATTGAAATTCGAAGGTACAGAGTTTAAATATAGGCTGTTGTCGTGATAACTGGTTTTAAAAATTTGCAAACTAGATTTTCTTTCAGAAATGTAGCAATCATAATTAGGTACTGTCATTTTAAATGTACAAGTTTGCGTGCGAAAACTCCAAGCTCATCTTACATACAGGACAGAAGAATATTGGCAGTGTTTTTCTTAGCATTTCATTGATCTCGAAGTGAGGATATACTTTTCTCGAGGAAGGCCCAATATAGAAAATGATATTCAATTAGATCTACTGCATTTAACGAACACATGCTCCGTGCCAGTTAGTGAATTCGAAATACAACGGCAAAATTGACTGTCCGAGGGCACCTTTACAAATTTTAGCTGCTCGCAAACGAAAAAAAAAGATAGAATCGATGTTACAGGAACA